TTCCTGTCTTTGAAGACTTGAGAGTCTATTTCATTGGTTTATACAGTGAACACCAGCTGAGTGCCTAACATATGTAGTGCACTGTCAGGAATGCTAGGACACAATAAAAACAAGCCTGTCCTTTTGTAATTATATTCTAGCAGGAAAATGACACATTACAAAATGAATTTTTAATTAAAAATTTTAAATTTACTTGATTATAATTGTGATAAATTCTAAAATAAGGAGGCACAAGAAAATAGGATGACATTTACTGAGGGGAATGAACTGGTCTGGGGGATCAGAAATACTTTCTCTCCTACGTTGTTGCTACAACCTTCTTTGAAAGCAATATGGCAACATATTAAATCACACAGATCCTTTTCTTGCCGGTGGAAATGAAGTTCTTCCTTTTTTTAAAAGATTTTATTTATTTATTTATTTTTAGAGAGAGGGGAAGGGAGGGAGAGAAGGAGGGAAAGAAATGTCAGTTTGTGGTTCCCTCTCATATGCCCCTACTGGGGACTTGGCTCACAATCCAGGCATGTGCCCTGAGTGGGAATCAAACCAGCGACGCTTTGGTTCACAGGCTGGCACTCAATCCACTGAGCACACCAGCCAGGGCTGAAGTTCTTTCATAGAGTCACAAGGAAAACATTCCAGAGATCCAAGTGTGGGAGGTTTGTAGCATGGCAAGATTTGTTTGGGTGGAAATAGAAGGCTGCCCCCATCCCCTCCAGGTTCTCAATGTCTTATCTCCATCAGTCCTGCCATAAAAAAAAGTTCAGCCTCATCTTCATCAGGCCCAGGAATATGATCAGTATCCAGATATTTCTTTCCATTGGTTTAGACCATGTTTTCCTAGATGTGCTCCAGCTGGTGCTGTGCCTGGGCATATGTTATCCTGTGGCCCATGTAGCCTGCTATGGCTGCTAGGGCCTCATGGCTGCTATGGAGAGAATGTGGGAGCAAACTGGGAGAATGCATGTTGAGAGACAGAGAGAGACAGAGAGACAGAGAGAGAAGGAGAAGAGAAAGAAAGAGAAAGAGGGTCTTTGTCTTTGTTAGTCTCAGGTTATGTAATCTCAGGTTTGGGAAGGACCAGGTGCCCCTGCAAACCAATCAACTTCCCGATCTTTCCCAGCCTTGTGATCGTCCTCCCCCTAACCAATCCATTTCCAAGATCTTCCAGGATTCTGTGTCCTTTACCCAATGTGATCCTTTTCCTAGGCTAGACACTACCACTCATGGTCACCCTCTTAGTTCCTACTGCCCATGCCTCAAGGGGAAGGACTTCCCCATTCACCCTCTTGATTTCTACTGTGTATGGGCCCAGAAGAGGAGTTTCTCCTGCAATTTTTATTCCTCCCCAGGTAATGATCCTTCCTACCAATTTGAGGAGGACTGTTTCCCAGAGCAGACAATGTCCTGGGCAGTGTGTAAAGCTGTAACTTCCTAATGAAGCAAGCAAGCCCATTGTCTGATTCAGCCCCCCAGTTCATTATGATTAATAATGTCTGATTCCCTTTGTTTCCTTTTTTTTATTAATGTCTTGCTACCTAAGCTAACACTTTAACCCAGCAATTCCACTTTTGAGATTTTATCGTATAACAATAAAAGTACCAGTCTTGAAAGTGGCATGTGACTTTGGCTCCTAGCAAAGCTGCAAGTGTTATAAGGTATAATATCTGAGCCAGGCTGTCCAAGAGGTCAAATCTAAGCCAGTCTAGTATATTGAGATAAGAAAATGATGGCAATCCAATGTGTTATAAAGCACTATTCAAATGGGTAGACTTATAAAATGTTTGGTAGGGGAAAGAACTAATATATTTTTCTTAATTTACTCAACATAATCTAATACAATAAATACTCTATAAATATTTGTGGAAGAAGGAGGGGAGGAACAAGTTTAAGTATGTTTGGTACAGATAAAGAGATATACATTAAAACATAAAGCCTCGGGTGAGGCATTGCAGAACCTCTAAATGAATAGTGGCAGGGAGGAAAAAGGATATACTTGATCAGGCTGGCAAAATAAAATGGGAAAAAAATGAAAAAAGGAAAGTAAAATAAAAAATAGATATTAATGGAAGAGATAAGATCAACATTGCAGTTAGTCCAAATGGGTTGAATTTGCCTATCGAATGAAAAAAAAAACCTTTCATTTTGGGTGCAAAAACAGCTAGTGCTGTGCATATAAAACACAAAACAAAGTGAACATAGAAGAAAAAGGATCCTATTCACAATCCACAAATACCATTAACTGTATGTCAGAATGATGGGGGGACTCAAGAGTAAAGATTTTAGGCTTGGTTGAGAGGCCTAAGTGACTAATGCGGGTGGAAAGTTGAAGGAACTGGAATGCATGACCATGTGAATGCAGGAGGTGTGCTAGAGAGTCCACCTTTGTACCCCAGGGGGTCTGCAAGCCAAGGGGAGTATGGGAGGCATTGTATCCCTGGGAAGGAAGGCCCATGATGCAAATATTGTCGATCAACAAATAAAGGAGTTTCAGGAGAATCATCCTGGCTGTAACTCTTATCCAATTAACCTTTTTTCCAAACCCCTTACCTACCTTTTTATCTAATTGACATTTTTCCAAATCCCTTACGCGCCCTTTCTTCTCCTTATAAAAAGTCAGCTTGAAGTGAGGTGTTTAAGACACTGTTTTTGGGGGATACATAACCCGCCTTCTTCTCAGATCTCAGACCACCTGAATAAAATGCCCATAAAGATTCAATCCTTGTCTCTAATTATTGGTTCTAATAGTGACAGCCAGCATGAATGCCAACTTTTCCGGTTTCAGGAATACACCTAGCAAGACAAGTGTAAGATGTGTATGAAAAAAGATATAAAATTTTAGTGAATGTATTCGTTTCCTATTTTCAATAAAAAATTACCACAAACTTAGTGGCTTAAATCAACCCAAATTTAGTACCTTTACAGTTCTGTAAGTGAGAAGTCCTACTGGACTGAAATCAAGGTTGTCTGCAGGGCTGCCAGCAGGACTGCATTCCTCTTGGAGGTTGTAGAACTGAGATGTTTCCTTTGTGACTGTCAGCTGAGAGCCAGTTTTAGCTCCTCGAGGTCTCTCTCAGGTCTTTGTAAATGGCTTCCAACATTTCAGATTCAGTAGCAGGGCATGGAATTCTCCTGCTTTGAGTCTCTCCTGTGGTTAGACTGAGCATACTCAATCAGGATAACCTCTTCACAAGGTCCTTAATTCCAATCACTCTGTAAAATTCCTGTTGTAAGGTAACATATTCACAGGTTCTGGGAATTAGGGTGTGCACATCTTTGGGGGCTATTAATCTGCCAACCACCATGAAAGACATGAAAAAAATGGAAGTGGAGAAAAGTGTTACATTCTTGGATGGGAAGATGTACTATTATAAAAATGTCATTTTTGCCAAAATTAACCTACAGATTTTGTGCACGATGCTTTTGAGATAACTGAAATTGGATTTGAATCAGATGAGTGGATAGATGCACAGAGAAGATGGTGTTGTTTAGCAAAACAAAGGAACACTGGTTTCCTTTGTAGATTTTAACTCAGGTAAATTGCATGCATTCTAGAGACAAATACACTAGAATTCTACACAAGAGCAAAGGAATGTTCCCTGTTGTGTGTTCAATATTGTTTTAATAGGCAAGGAGTGTTCTTTTAAAAAAAATTATTTTTGATTTTTAGAGAAAGGGGAAGGGAGGGAGAAAGGAGAAGGGAGAGAGAAAGGGGAAGAGAGGGAGAAACATCGATGTATGAAAGAAATATATATCTGTTTCTTCTTGCAAGTCCCCAATTGGGGACTTGGCTTGCAATAGTCCAGGCATGTGCCCTGACTAGATTAGAACGGGTGACCTTTAGGTGACCACTGAGCCACACCAACCAGGGCTAAACTGCACGTTTTAAACTCGTTTTATTCTGTCTACTCAAAAGCTTTATTAGAACTTTCAGCAACAATTCCTGGTAGATGACCCTGTCTTCTCAGTTCATTTGTGATAGCACTTAGAAAAATGTTTCTAAAGAAACATTCCTCAGGTATTTCCACCAGGATGCTTCCTCAGAGATGTGAGTGCTACTGTGGGTGATCACAAGTGTGGATGCAGATTCCTTAAGTTTGGGAACGTGGGGTGAAGGGGAACAAGAGAAAAATGCATTTGTACCTCCCTCCAAAGAAAGAGGCTTTTGTAAAAATGCCACCCTTAATTTGCAAAACCACATAATGGACTCTCCTTACAGATGTGATTAGTTTACTTCAATGAAAAGTTATCTCAAGGCCATTGTCATGCGTTGTTAAAGACAAGTATGTTTGGAATGTATCCTATTTATAAATCCCTGGAAATAAAAGACATGGTTGTTTAACCCCCAACACCAAGCTCACTGTCCTTGGAATGACATCTCAGACGTCAATGTGACCCTCTTTTTAAAGGTCAAATATGGATGTCTGCATTCTGTCTCCACCTTTCTTACATTTACTAGACAAAACATGGAAATACAACTTTCCTAAATTAATGCTGAATTTTCAGGGATCCTGTGAGTCCCGGGGAAGGGCGCGGTCAGACAGCTTGGCGAGTCAGGACGCTGTTGTCCTCTCTCGTCGCCGGCCTGACAAACGTCAGGAGGAAGTGGCCCGGAAGGGTCTAGGAAAGCACCCCCCTAGTCTGAGCTGCCCAGAGGTGGAGACAACAACCCAGACAGAATCAGTTGGGTAGAGAGTCCCTGGGCCCGGTGTCCAGCGGCCCACACGGTCGCCTCATTCCCAGTTTCACCCAAGAAAACCAAACAGCCTCAGTACGCGAAGTACCCGGATGACGCTACACCGCCCCACCCCGCGGCACCCCGCTGCCGCCGCCGCCTCCTTGGCTAGGTCGCGTATTCGCGTCCTGGAGCCCATTGCGCAAGGTGGGGTGGGGCTGAGGGTGGGCAGAGATGGGGAGAAGGGCAGTGGTTGGGTGAGAAGTAAGCAACACCCACGCATCGGCGTCCCTGCGCATGCGCCGTACGTCAGCTTCTAGTACTTTCGACGCGTCAGTCCACTCCCTTCTCAGTTCGCGCCCGGACGTCGTAGGTGGAGAAGGTTAAGGCTTCTCTGTCTAGAGCAGTTGCGAAAATTCTCCTCTTCGTCCTTAGGTGTGGAAGGAAGGCGTTCGTTGGGCCTTTCTCTCTGTCCTAAGCGAAGTGCCGGTGGTTTTTGGTAAGTTTTCTGGTGATGAAGTCGGATTCACGGGAACCTCAGTGTGGGGGACAGGGGAAGTGGGGGGCCCTGCATGGCGCAGAAAGGGGGCTGCTGGCTTGACGACACGGCTGGTGTTTGGCGTCGAGAGGACCGGGAGTTGGCGAGTCTCGTTTCCTTGCTCGAGCTCCCCCTCCCCCACCACTCGCGGCCTTACTTCCGGGAATTCACTTCCTTCTTCCCAACCCCCTCCCGTTCATGTTTAGGAACCGAGTTTTCGAGAAGGATCCTGAAAGGCAAGGAAGCTTCCAAACGCAGGCCGAGATGTCCAGCTACGTGAACGGTATGTGGCCGGGCTCGCTGCCTGAGGAGTCTCCGTCAGCCTCGGGCCGTTCCAGCCGACTGTCCTCGGCGACCGGGAGCCGCTCGCCCAGAAGCTCGCGGTCGCGCTCCAGTGTCTCCAGTCGGTGGTCGTCCAGGAGCCGGAGCCGGCCCCGACGCAGGAGCAGGTCCAGGTCTCGATCCCGAAGACGCCACCAGAGGAAGTACAGGCGCTACTCTCGGTCTTACTCTCGGAGCCGGTCGCGATCCCTCAGCCGCCGCCGGTACCGGGAGAGGCACTACGGTTCCTCCAGGAGGTACTACCGGTCTCCGTCCCCCTCGCCAGACCGATCTCGTAGCCGGTCCCGCTCTCGGGGACGGTCATATTACCGAAGGGCCTACGCGGTCACACGGGGGCGACGCTACTATGGCTTTGGTCGCTCGGTGTACCCGGAGGAGCACAGGAGTTGGCGGGGGAGATCCAGGACGAGGTCGCGTAGCCCAACGCCCTTTCGCTTAAGTGAGAAAGGTGAGTCCAGACGTGCACAGATCGCTTCTCCCTGGGCGCCTTTCTGCAGGTGTGGCGACAGTAGTAGTAGGCTAGGGAGGCAAAGTTGCTGTGTAATTTAAAAGTTTTTTTCTTTGGCGTCTGAAATCTTAATAGTTTTGATGGAAGGAAGGAGGGGAGGACGACATTAGCAGGCTAACAGTTAAAACCACCCAGCAGTTGACACCCGATTTTTGAAAGGACCCTGTTCTTCCCCCTTGGGATAAGTTGCAGGTGTTAAGTGGCTCTGGATGGACAGTCTTTTCTCCTGGTGGCTGGCGTTTCTTAGTGGAACCCTGTAAACGTTAGTGACTTAGTTGTTTATCCTAAGTGTCTGCGAAGTTAATCATTGAGCGGGAAAATAGAATCAAAGCTTCCCTTTTTTTTTTTTTTTTTTTTAAACTGTAGGCCAGAGCTTAGTCACTTATGCCAGAAAGCCTAACCTAACCTTACTTACAGCTCATGAAAGGCAGATTCTGATTCTCATTTCTTGTGCGTATGTGCAAGGGTGTTTCACATTGCTTGTTGGCTTTTTAAGTAATCTTAAGGATATAGAGGAGGACTCCTGGGTCCCGGAAGGAGACTTGACTGTGGGTAATGAACGCGCATATAATACACAAATAATTTATAGAATTGTACACCTGAAAACGATGTAATTTTATTAACTTTCACCCCAAAAAATTCAGTTTAAAAAATTAAATAACAATATAAAGAACTCTTTTTTTATAAAATTAATACTGTATTACTGAGAAAATTAAATTTTGTTTCAGTATTTTAGAAAACAAACGATTTTCACCATAGGATCATGGACAGAATATTAGATAAAAAAACAAAACTCAAAGTCTGAAAATGGATATAGTAATGTATCAGTATTGGTTCATTGTGACAGTTGTACTGTATACAAAATTTCTTTTTAAATTTTATTTTTGGAGAGGAACATCCTTGTGTGGTTGCCTCTCGCGTGCCCCCTGCTGGGGACCTGGCCGGCAGCCCGGGCATGCGCCCTGACTGGGAATCAACCAGCCGCCCCTCTGGTTTTCAGGCTGGCATTCGGTCCACTGAGCCACAACAGCCAGGGCTAAAAAAATTTTTTTAACCAGTAATGTTCAGAATACACATTTGAAAAGAATGCAGAAACAGTATTTCAGGCTTTTGGTAAGGAAAACTTGAAAACTGTTGATTATTTAGGGGTGCTTATTTTTCTCAGCAAAAAAGAGTTTTTTCCCCCATGAATAAGGATATATTTTACACAAAATGTTAAACACATGTTGGTTAATAAATGCAAATCTTATTTTGTGATTCTGAGTCCTCCTTGGGAAATGCTGCAAGATTAAGAAATATTTTGTGTTTTGTTTTGTGTTTGTAGATCGTATGGAGCTGTTAGAAATAGCGAAAGCCAATGCAGCAAAAGCGTTAGGAACAACGAACTTTGAATTGCCCCCTAGTCTCAGAGTTGTTCCTGTATCTAAGGAAACAAACCATGAGACAGCTGTACCAAATAAAGGTGCAAAGTTTGGGGTAAGTATTCTAGGTATATCCATACACAGTTTTCAGAGAGCCACTTCCAGAAAGATCTGATTAGCATTTTTAATTGACTTACTTTAGACTACTTTTTAGAAAGTCTCGCTAAATATTATTGTTAAAATCAAAATAGCAGGTCTGACAATACTCAGTCTCTCCCATGAAGATGGGAGATTTATGAACTCTGTTTTTAGTTGACACAGTATTGCTTTCATGAATGTAGCTGGTATTTTGATTCTGTGTAGTTACCGAATTTTTCTTAGTCTCTAGAATATTTATCTGTAGTTTTCATTTGCAGCATTATGTTCCCAGAAATTCTGTACTCAACATACAGTATAGTTTATCTGCTTTATTTCTGTCTTATAGAAATCATGAATGTGGTCTCCAGACATTGCTGAAGAAAATCTGTTGGTAATTGATACATGGGCATAAGCATCAGAGGTTTAACTAATTTGAAGTTTATGTTCACACACTGAAAGCTTAGTTTTTGTTGGTAGATCCATGTGCATGCTAGAATTTGGGATAGGTGCTGTTTGGATAAGATACAGAAGAACATTTTTAAACTAAAGTACACTTTGTAATGTTGGGGCATCTGTGATATACATGTCCCTTTTGTAATACATGCAATTTATTCCAGATGTTTTGAGAGATTGCAGAAGAGGCCTGCTCACTTGCAGATAAGTTTATAATTCTCCAGAAATGTGCAGGATGTACATTGGCAAATTGCCCTTGCTTTTTAAGTTACGTTGAAACCCAAAGTATAAAATCCGTAGCTTTAAAGGTTTAAGGAAGCTATGAGTTGATAGGCTTAGTTAAAACAAGAGAGATGTTACCCAGATGAACTTATCATTCGGACTCAGCTATGGGTATGCCCGTATTAGTGCTAGACAAATAACGTCTTAGTTGTTTCTTCAAATGATGAGGTGCTACAGTATTTCTTTAAAACTAGGTATTTTCTGGTTATTGACTCTACTTTGGCAGTTATTTGAACTTGGGAATAAAAGTGTGCTCTATGGGGACGTGTGTCTTCATCAGTCACATTTAATGCATCGCTTTTGTTAAGGGGGAAACAACTACAGTGTTTAGACTGTTGATTGTATGATTAGATCCCACTTGTTTTATCTTTACAACTAAATTTATATATAGTTGGGTTGCTTTGTATACAGTACTGTAAATCAAAGGTTTTGTTTTGTTTTTTAATATATTTCCTTTTCTTGTCTAGCTGTCGGAAAAGCTAACAGAAGACGGAACTAAAAATGCCAGTGAAAAGTCTTCGCAGCAAAAAAGCAGTAGCTCTAATGTACGTATGTCTAAGCCCTGGCCACTCCAAAATTGGACTTAGAACATCTAATCCATTATGTGGGCTTTTATTTTTGTTGGAAGGCTCATTGTTCTGTTTTCAGTGATGATTGAGACCTGTTAAACGACTTCATAGCACTGATCTTTCATATTTTTGTGCTACTTCTACAAGTGACCAAATTAATAGGCTCCTTTAATCTCCACATTCTGTTTGAATGTTTTAACATTTTTTTCAACACCTCACCATTGTAATATGCCCTGCATATGTCTGATTTTACCCGACACAATTTCTTGGCCTAGCAGTTGGAGTTGGGCTACAAATAAGGTGCACACTTGGCATTTGGTTGGTGTGTCTCAATTTTCAACCTTAAATGGAATTATTTTATTATAAACAGATATTTTAAGTATGTACTATGTAAATGTCTGGGAAGCTGACTCTTAAATTTGTTCTCACAGAATTTTGTAGCAAAGCCAATGCTTCAGAAATCAGCTAAAGCTACTGCTGAAGAGACCTCTTCAGGATCCCCAAAAACACAGCAGAAAAAAAGTCCATATGAATTATGGAAACCTGTTTGAAAAAAGAAGACTGATGGGCTCAGGTGGCCTGAAATGCACTTTATTGCAAGTTTGTTTTGTATAGCATTATATCATTCCTGTGAGCAATTTAGTGGTAATTGTTAACATTTTAGGTTTCTCTTGCAGATAAGAGAGCACAAATGGACCAGAGGGTTACATACAGGTGGGAGTCTTGTATATATACTTGTAAATGTTTTGTGTAATATCGATTGGTTAAACAAATTTATAAGGAACAGTAAATTTTGTTATATATATTAATAAACTTCTTGTTTTTACTATTTGTCTCATTTTATTGTACATATATTACATGATGGGTCTTTATTTAATGAAGAATAAGGAGGTATCTCTTGTTTAACACTTTGCTAATCACAGATCCAGATCCATGAATTGTGACAGCATAGGGCTCAGTTGACCTTACCTGGGAGTTTCTGAGAAGCAAATCTCACCTCCCCACAGAGACCTGAATTAGAACCTGAATCTTAACAATATTCCCGGTTGATGTGATAACTCAAATCTTACAGAACCGCTAGCATAGTGTATTATCCTGGAAGTTACACTATGAGCTTCAGGGCTGGAAACTCAGGCTCAGGTTGAAATGGAAGTCCCTTACTGAGGTAGAAAATCTGAGGTTATATTAAATTCGTCAGTTAGAAATTCTTTAATGCTGTAGTTGCAAAGGAAGTGGGCAGTTTAAAAATGGATGATTACAACAAAGATTTAGGAACTTGATAAAAATAGATCGGTTATAGACATTTGTGTAGTGACTTAAGACATTTTTAAACTTCTAGTGTTAACTTGATTTACTAGGTCAAATGTTTGAATTGACCAGGAGATGCCAACCAGCTTAATGACTTTATTGTGCCTATATGCTGGGGCAAAGGAACAAAACATACCCACAGAAATTAAGGGTGAAGAGGCTGAAGTTAGGTAGAAGCTGGTTTACAAAAAGATGAACTCTGGCTGGTGTGGCCCAGAGGACTGAGCACCAGCCTCCCTTAGTTGTTCTGGGTTCCTGGTTGGAGGTGAGCAAAAGACAACCCATTGATGTTTCTCTACCTCTGTTTTTCCCTTCCACTGTCTCTAAAAATAGAATCTTAACAAGATGATGAGCCCTTGCTGGTGTGGCTTGGTTGATGGGAACATTGTCCTGTCCTTGAAGGCTGAGGGTTCACTACCTGGTTGGCACATAACCTGGGTTGTGGGTTCAGTCCCTGGCTGGGCACTTGTGGGAGGCAAATTGTTTATCTCTAAAATCCGTGAACATTTAGGAAAAATGAGAAAGGTCCTTCAGCAGGGGTGTCAAACCTATGGGTGGCATGCAGCCCGGGATGGCTGTGAATGTGGTCCAACAAAATCTTTAAAATGTGAGATACCTTTTAATTATGCGTCACAATGAATTTAATGTGTGGCCCAAGACAACACTTGCAGTGTGGCTCCGACACCAAAAGGTTGGACACCTCTGCGAGTGGGACTTAACTGAAGTTCTCCATTTTACCTGCCCTCTTCAATAAAGTAGCCAATAACCATGTGATTACTTGACATTTAAATCTACTAGTCACTTGTGTTCATTAGTTATATGTAGCTAGAGGTTAGTGCAGGTATTTTTGTCAGAATATTATGTTGATCCAATGAAATTTATTTTTTAAAAAGGATTTTATTTGAGAGGGAAAGTGAGAAAGAGAGATACATGGATCAGTTGCCTCTTGCATGCCCCCAAGTGGGGACCTGGCTGGCAACCCAGATTTGTGCCCTGAGAATTGAAATAGCAACCTTTCAGTTAGCAGGCTGGTGCTCAATCTGCTGAGTTCCCTGTCAGGGCAACAGTGAAATTTATGTCCACAATGAGTTGCATATATACATTCCTGGACATACTATTGCTGTCATGATGATTTATATGGCTTTGGTAACATTTTCATCCCTTAAGCCAGCAGGACTGGGTTTGAACAAGGAATTTCCTGGTTGGGGGTGTGCAAGAGACAACCCATTGATATTTACCTCTCTTTCTGCCTTCCACTCTCTAAAAATATTAAATTGTAAAAAAAAATTAAAAGATGAGCCATTGCCAGCATGAGTCAGTTGGGCATCGTCCTGCAAAGCAAAACGTTGCTGGTTCGATTCTTGGTCAGGGCACATGGCTAGGTTGCAGGTTTAGTCCCTGGATGGGGTGTGATCCATGTGCCCTCATTTTCTCCCTCCCTTCCCTTCCAAATAAAGTTTATGTGGGCCCTGACTGGTGTGGCTCAGTGGATTCAGTGCTGTGCCTGGGGTGTGGGCCAGGTTCCCAGTTGGGGGAAAAGCAACAACTGATGTTTCCCTTGCACATCAATGCTTCTCTCCCTCACTTTCCCTTCCCCCTCTGAAAAGAGTAAGATCTTTAAAGTTTACATGGTTAGGTTCATTTTTAAGGAGACATGAGACTACTACTATTGGTAGACTGGCCTGGTTACAACAGTCAGACAAAACACAAGGTTTGATTGGTGTTAAGATTATTAACTGAAAACATGGTTAATCTGAGCATCCTGTTAGTATTGGTTTGGCTAGAGAGTCTGTTTAGTGTTTTTGGTAAGAGACATTTTTTAATTTTCACCAGTAACTTTATTCATTTGGATATTTTGAGTAGGTTGGTTATCTCCTGCGTGGTATAATGTTGATCTCAGTGTCTCCATTTGATCTCTACCAACTTGTGACTGGTCTTTCCAACCATGGAGCATCATCCAGTGAGAAATCTCCAGCATGAAACTTTGTAAGCCTCTTTTGATACCTTCAATCAGTCACAGCACCTTCTTTATACACTGCACAAATCTTTTTTTTAGCATTTCAGTAGCGTTTTTAACTTTCTTGAAATAATAAAGCATAACAGGTCCACAAATGCTGCTTATTTTTTTCTATCTTCGATGTTAAAATGGCCACACAAAAATTCACCAATTTTGATTTTTTTTAATGCACACTGATATGACAGCTGTCACAACACAATTTAGCAAAATTGTTTTGAAGTTAGAAAACTGTTAATAGAGCCATCTTACAGGAAAAAAAAAACTTTTTGGCCAATGCTATATTTACCCAAGTCGTCATCTTCAGAGTACAACTGTAATCCTCAAATGATACTGATACCTGTTTTTTTGGTCCAAGTTGAAGTGGCTGTTGGGAGTGCTTTTCTCCTCTGGGGAAATCCTATTTTATTAAACCCAGGTCAGTACGATCTATGAAACCTACTCCTATTATTAATCTTTTCCTCTCTTCCTTTCTTTTCCCTTGTACAAAGCCCTTTTCTTTCTTTTTTCTTTTTTTTAAAATGGAAGGAGTCTTCATTCAAAAGATTCACAATTTTGAAATAACGGCATTCCACATGCATTCGTCATTTAAGCCTGTCAATTAAAGCTAAACTCTAACGCCTGAATTCTATCATTCCCATGGTAGGGTTTGTTTTTTTTTGTTTCAATATTATCGTGTTAGTTCACACAATTTTGGAAGGATGGCAGGCTTCTGCCTCAGTACAAAGGTGTTCAGGGCACATCTCTGGGTTGTTGGCCTGGTCCCCATTTGCAGACTTGCGAGAGGAATGCTATTGATGTCTCTCACACATTGATGTTTCTCAGTCTTTTTTCCCTCCTTTCTCCTCCCTCTAAAAGTAAATAAAATTTAAAAAAAAAATCAGAAAAGAAAGTGCTGGAGGACAAAACTATGGCAGTGTGTGTTTTTTTCCCCTTGGTAAGATTGGGCAGCATGTGTTACTCATCTCAAGTTATTTAAAATATAGTAAGTCAAAGTACCACAGCTATTTCCATTCCTCAGAGGCAATCCTTGTCAAGTAGTATGATGTACATTCTGGATTGTTTTCTATGTCCATACAAACGTCTTTTTATATGGCTATATTATGAACATCTTTTTCTTGTCAGTACAGTGACAACAAGTCTTCAACATCGTTAGTTTCTGCGACTTTGAGCAAAACAACATAAAATGAAAGCATCTTACTATACTAATTGTTGTAAACAGTAAAGTTCCTGTGGTTTATTAATGTTATAAAAATGACGATTATAAGATCAACTCCAGCTATATGTCTCATTTTCGAATTCTATATAAACATATATGCAGAATTCAAAACTGCTTTCTTTTTTGGTGTTAATAAACACTGAAAGCAGTATCTTGAGAAAAGCATCTACGAAAAAATGAGTTCCATGAGCTTTCTTGAATTTAATTTTGTAAGTACTGTACCTCAAATTATTTTGTTTTTCTTTACGTTACCGTTTACATTTTATACCTATATATCTTTTTATTTGGGGGCTTTTTCATTTCTACATCTAATTAGTGGTTATTAGTGCAGAACAAGATACATTTCCATATATTCCTTTTGTATCCAGCACCGTACTTTACTAATGTAAGCACTGTTACTCATCCTGGAACAGTTCCTCTGTTGGACTCGGAAGAGGAAAGAAAATGGACGTGATTGCACTGTAGCAGTTTATAACGTTGATGCGGGAAATAGAAAATGAACAAAGAGAAACGTCTTACGCTATTAAGAAAATTGAAATGGTGCCATACGACAGTTCTAAGGGCCTACGTGAGACCAAGCAGTCAGGCTGGAACTGCCTCGAAGAAAGTGACACTGACGCTAAGCACTTCCTCTTCACGGGAGCAGCACGCAGTTGACGTGACTGTTTACAGGCTCAGGGTCGGCCTTTCCTCCTTGCTGTTCCCTCCCGAACGCTTCCGGCCTCTCCACCTCACCGCTCTACCCCTGGCCTTTTGCGGCTGCGCAAGGTCCTGCCCAATCGAAAAACAGCTCACTGTTAGAAGGAGCAGGGATTGGTCTCAAACGCCTGACGCAGCCAGGAAAAGGCGGAGCTTATCGTACGTTATTAACATCAATCGGAAGGCCAACGGAAGTGCCAAGTTGTTGCCGGAAGTGGGGAGAGGGAGGTTGTAATGGCGGCTGCGACTCTTACCGAGAAGGTAAGTGCTGCCCGCTATATCCAAGGGTTTTTATGGGAGGTTACCAGGAGGCGGGAGGGGTGGAGAAGGTTCTTGGGTGCCAGGCCAGGGAGGAGTAGACATTGTGGGGTCGGGGTCCGCAGTGAGGGCCTGGCGCGGCCTGTCGGGACCGGCAGGGAATCGGCCTGGGCAGCCCCGGGAGAGGCCGTGCCGGCGCTGTCAACAGCCAGTTCTTCTTGTCGCAGATGCGGGTGGAGAGCGCGGAGGAGGAACAACCCCTCGCGACGGCGGAGGAGCTCGCGGCCCAGAAGCGCGAGCAGAGACTGCGCAAATTCCGGGAGCTGCATCTGAAGCGGGTGAGTAACCTCAGCTGAGACCTGTCATTGGTCAGGCCTCTGCATGTATGTGGGGAGAAGAGGAAGTCCCCTCAGCGTGCCCAACAGACCCGCAGAACTGGATGAAAGACACCTCCCGGTGGTTGTCCACCCTGGAAGCACATTGTGATCTCTTTTGAAAATACAGTTAATCCTGGAACAACGTCTGGGTTAGGGGCGCTGACCCCTGCGCAGGCGGAAGTCCACATATAACTTGAACTCAGCAGTAGGCCCTTCGTATACTTAGGTTGAACCAACCACTCAGGATGAAAACAGTATTAGTTATACGCGGGTTTTTGACTCTGCTGGGGCGGCATCCATAACGCCCCGTGTTGTTCAGGGTCAGCAGTATTTTTGATCCGCGGTTGGGAATGTGAAAAGAAACTTGCGGATAGGAAGGGCCGAATGTATTTAGGTACTGAAAAAATGTCTGGTTTAAAGGGACCCCTGCGGATTTAACTTGCGTTGTCTAAGGGTCAGCTGTTCGTGTAGTCGCTCCATCCCGTCTCACCTGCATCTGATTTAATTTATCTGGGCTAGGTTTGAGAGTCTCTATTGCTCACAGACTCGCTGCTGTATTTTAACAAGCTCTTCATTTTACCTAGGGAAATGTGTATAGCTTGAGACTGGAAGAAAATTGTCCAATGTCAATAAGAGAGTTGGATGCCTCTTTATTCAGTAATAATCAACAAATCTCTGAAAGTCTATAGTGTCAGTGGTTTAGCCAGTTAGTGGGGAACCAGGTGATTAAGGCAAGGTCTCTTCTCTAAAGAAGAGAAGAGAACTTTATAGCTAGAAATTATGTTGTGATAAATGCCACGGTAGAGTTAGGAACAAAATACCCCGGGAGTACAGGGGAGAGATTAATAGAGTGATGGGTTTCAGGGAGTGCCTTGGGTAGGACACCTAAACTGCTGTTTAAAAGAGAAATAAGGTGACATCAGACAAAGAAATTGGAGGAAGAAATATCCAAGCAGGGAGAACAAATGGAAAGGAAGAGAATACATGTTAGGGAAAAGAGTCCAGCAAACTACTGGCTGCAGTTGGAGCTGACAAAGGAAAAAAAAAAAAAAAAGCAGCTCTTGATTCTTTCAACTCGAAGTGGCCTGACAGACAGCCTGGCCATGGTTCCACCAAACCCCAACATCACTCTGACTGTAGGAGTGAGACAAGAACGAGACTATTCAAACCACAGAAATGACCCCTCCACTTCTGCTAACATCATAGACTGCTATTACCAAATAAATCATTAATTTTCCTCCATTAATCCTGCCTCGTATGTAAAAACTTAAGATACTCTATCATCGAGTGCCCTGGCTTTCTAACAGTGCCGATCCAGAGCGCAACTGTGCTTCCATGAATTTTCCCCCCAGTTACCTGATACAAACCCAAATCTTATAACTAGCCCCTCCTGAAACCCTCTCACTGAAATGAGCTCCCTATGACTTGCTATCTCCTTCAGTGCAACAAACACAACCGACTTTAGGTGTGTTCTTAGTGTCTTCACCCAGAGGGCATTGCCAGAATCAAGAGTGACTAAGAGATGCTAGGTAAGAGGAGTATCTCACTGCCCCCAAAGGTTAGTCTCATAAAGAATTAAACACACTTAAATATCTACCTGGACAACTGTGGAAAGAAAATCTGGTTGGAAATTAGGAGACATGGCTTCCTGGATTTAACTGCCACCAGTCTAAGAAACATCTAACTTAATTAGTCTTTGAGATGATATGCTCACTTTGTTTTAAAGCAAACTCTTTATGGAGTAATCCAAATGGAAAATTTCTTTCACTTGTCATAATAGAAACTGTGAAAATATTTTAAAAGGAGAGGGAATTTGGAAAGGATTAGAGATAATAGAGGTATTAAAGCCCTAGCCCCAAATTGAGCCTTTTTCCTTGAATTAACCAGGATTAAAAGAATTGAAAATAGGACATCTTTCTCATCACATGATTTAATATTATTTCATGCCATCTAAAGTCTAGTGCCACTGTAGTAGTCTTTCCCTACTTTGTGATACCTCGTCCCATGTAACCCTAAGGGACCATGCAGCTAAACATAGGCAAAGCTGGTATTAATCCCTAGGCCGCTGGAGCAGCAAACCAGTTTATTTCAACATATTTTTCTTGACTCTATACAAATGCAGACCTAGTTAGGCAGTTCCCTTGCTTAAAATCATTTGATGGCTCTCTGTTGCTTTTAGGATAAAATGAGGTTCCCCTGTTAATGTGTCTTACCTGACCCTCAAAGAAGGCAAGATCTGTTTGGATTGATTTTCATGTTTCACCTACAAACTTTATGTGTTATGGTTTTAGAATGAAGCCCGTAAATTAAATCACCAGGAAGTTGTGGAAGAAGATAAAAGACTTAAGTTACCTGCAAATTGGGAAGCCAGAAAAGCTCGTTTAGAGTGGGAACTACAGGAAGAAGAAAAGAAAAAGGTTAGAACTCCTCTGCTGTCTCCATATGTGGGTTACTCAGTTTTCTCTTGTACTGACATAGAAGAGCTTGGGGTTTTTTTGTACACAGGCTCTGGAGCCAGACTGCCAGAGTTCAGATCTTGGCTCTGCTTTTTCTAGCTGCAACACTTTGGGTGAGCTGTTTAACCTGTCTGTGCCTCTGTTTTCTCATTTGTGAAAGTTGCACTATAATAATAATTGAGTTAATTATGAATTAAATGAGTCAATGCGTGAAAAACATTTAAAACAGGTTGTGACACCTGATAAATGTGAATATTATTTTTAAACTGGTGTGCTTATTTCTTATATACCATAGTAGATTCCTGAAATTTCTTTGACTATTAATCGTTATTTTGAAAGTATTGCTAGATGTCTTTATTCAGTCTTTCTTGCTTGTATCATAATTGCAAGTTTCAGCTTTTCTTTCTTTTTAGGAATGTGCAGCAAGAGGGGAGGACTACGAGAAAGTGAAGTTATTGGCGATCAGTGCAGAAGATGCAGAAAGGTGGGAGAGGAAAAAGAAGAGGAAAAACCCTGACCTGGGCTTCTCAGGTGAAATTAGCTTTTACTTGACTGTATGGGCCTGTTGGATACGCGTTACCGTCGGTGTTCCTGGTTTATGAAAGGGTATGCCCCTTCAGGGATATCCTCTGAGAGGCAAAAACCCAAGAAAAGTGTGTCTCCTAGGGTAGCAATAAAGCCTGTACTTCAGTCAGCTGGGTTCTTTTATTCTTTGTGGTAAAATTAAGTCTTGTATTATCAGCATCTTCAGGATAGATACTATGCTTAGATTGGTGTCTTGTGCATATATTACTAATAATAATTTTGATTTTTTTCTGCATAGTAATGACTAAACAAGGAAATATATTGTCTCTGATTTTAATTTTATTTTTAGATTATGCTGCTGCCCAGTTACGCCAGTACCATAGATTGACCAAACAGATCAAACCTGACATGGACGCATATGAGAGGCTGAGAGAAAAGCAGTAAGTTGATGGGATTGATGCAGGTGTTTTTCTTTCCCCCCATTCTGAGGTGATGTAGATGTATTTGTGTGTGTGTACATATATACACACACACAAACATACATAAATAATGCTTAGGGAGTGGTTAGGTATGGGTTATCAAGTAGCTTTCAAAGAATGATTTCTGATCTTAAAACACTATTTATTACTCACTCCACAGCAGTTAAGCTCACCACCTGGTTGTCTTTCTGGCTGGGCATTCTAAGGCTGGGTGTTGAGTGGTTAACAGCCAGATTATCATAGTCACTCAGATACCATTTTAAGAGGCAGGATGCTTTAGTTCCAGCATGTGTGAACTTTTTTTTTTGTTTTTAAATAAAAGATCAGATAGTAAACATTTTAGGCTTTATCGACTACATGGTCTCTGTCACAACTACTTAACTCTGCTGTTGTGATGTGAGAGTCGCATAGAGGGTATATAAACAAATGTGTGTGGCTGTGTCCCAGTAACACTATATATAAAAACATGGTGTAGCTTGCTGATCCCTGCTTTAGTGGAAAGAGAAACAACTTGAACTTGGAAGCAACTGCTTTGACCTCTGGCCCTTGGCTCTTTCACCTATAGAAGGAAGGTGTCAGAGTAAGTGATTTATTAGGTCCCTTTCAACTCTGTATATATTTTTTTAAGTGAAGGTAGGATCCCACAGTAAATATATTTTTATCTCTCATTGTGTGTGATTGTTTAGTTTGAAATTTGAAATATGGAGCGCTTGTAGTGTTACTGTAAGATCATTTTGCTGTCTTTTCAGTGGAGAAGAGTTTTTCCCAACATCCAACAGTCTTCTTCATGGAACACATGTGCCTTCCACACAGGAAGTTGATAGGATGGTCACAGATCTGGAAAAACAGTAAGTACTCAGTACAGCAGTGTGAAATTTTTTTTTTTTTAAAGATTTTATTTATTTATCTTTAGAGAGGAGAAGGGAGGGAGAAAAAGGTGGAGAAACATCAGTGTGTGGTTGCCTCTCATGTGCCCCCTACTGGGGACTTGGCCTGCAACCCAGGCATATGCCCTGACTGGGAATCGAACCAGCAGCCCTTTGGTTCAGAGGCTGGCCCTCAGTTCACTGAGGCACACCAGACAGGGCATCGTTGTGAAATTTTAAGTACTTAATGGCAAAATGGACAAAATGAGCTTAGAATTTTAATAGATAGATAGACATTATACTTGCTGATTTCTGGCTTAGCCTCTTTTATTTATCTATTTAAATTTTTATGAGTTTATCTGAGCCAGACTGATGACCTATGCTGGGGAGCAAGATCTCAAATGCTCTGGGAAAATTATTTTTCTTTAAGAACTGATACGTTCTTAAAGAAAAATCACTCTGCTATTTGATTTTGAAGAAATAATGTTATAGTAAATATACCTCCGTTACATTTGTGTTTCTTTTCTTTTTAAATTTTCATTTATTGATTTAAGAGAGAGGGAAAGGGGCGGGGGAGAGGGATAGAGAAAGAAGCCTCGATTTATTTTTCAAACTATTTATGCAGTCATTGGTTGCTTATTGTATATACCCTTTCTGGAGATTGAACCTGCAACCTTGGCGTACCAGGATGGTGCTCTAACCAACTGAGCTACCCATTCAGGGCCACATTTATGTTTCTTAATACTAATAGGGGTGAATATTAGGCAGAATAGAATAAATTTGTATTTTAGGAGTTAACACACATGGAGTATTAAGAATAGTGTCTATCACATACTGTGCATTCCATATTAGCTATGGTTATTAGTAATATAATTATTGCTGTAATCATCTTCTTAAGTAATGCTTCATGTGTCCGGTTTCTAACAATGCTATCATTATGATTTTAGAAGCATTCTGAAGATTAGTTAGTATATTATATTCCTAGATTTCATGGTACTTACCCAGGGTTGTGCTGTTAATTAGCAGTTTCAACTTGATCTTGATGAAGACTGCTCCGCTCTTCTCCAAAGTATACTATTTTTTTTTAAATATATGTTATTGATTAGGCTATTACAGTTGTCCCAATTTTTTTCCCCCTTTGTCCTCCTCTGCCCAGTATCCCCAGTCCCTCTAGCAACCCCCTCCTTTAGTCCATGGGTCATGTATGTACGTTCTTTAGCCACTCCATTTCCTATACTGTCCTTAACATCCCCCTATTTTGTACCTACCAATTTGTACTTAATCCCTGCGCCCTTTTCCCAATTCTCCGCCTTCCCTCCCCGCTGATAACCCTCCAAATGATCTCCATATCTATGATTCTGTTCCTGTTCTGCTTGTTTCCTTAGTTTGTATTTGTGTTTTAGATTCAGTTGTTGATAGTTGTGATTTGTTGCCATCTTACTGTTCATAGTTTTGATCTTCTTTTTCTTATATAGTTCCCTTTAGCTTTTCATATAATAATGGTTTGGTGACGATCAACTCCTTTAGTTTTACCTGGTCTGGGAAGCAGTTTATCTGCCCATCAATTCCAAATGCTAGTTTGCTGGATAGAGTAATCAAGGTTGTAGGTCCTTGCTTTTCATAACTTCGAATACTTCTTGCCAATCCCTTGTGGCCTGCAAATTATCTTTTGAAAAATCAGCTGACAGTCTCATGGGAACTCCTTTGTAGGTAATTCTCTGCTTTTCTCCTAATGCTTTTAAAATTCTCTCTTTATCTTTAACCTTTGGCATTTTAATTATGATGTGTCTTGGTGTGGTTCTCTTTGGGTCCAACTTGTTTGGGATTCTCTGTGGTCCCTGGTCTTATATGTCTATTTCCTTCATCAAATTAGGGAAGTTTTCTTTCATTGTTTTTTCAAGTAAGTTTTCAATTTCTAGCCCTTCGTCTATTCCTCTGGCACCCCTATGATTCAGATGTTGGTACGTTTGGAGATGTCTGTCCCAGAGGCTCCTTATTATATTCTCATTTTTTTTGAATTTTTGTTTCTTCTTGCTGTTCTGATTGAATGCTTTTTCTTCCTTATGTTCCAAATCGTTGATTTGAATCTCAGCTTCATCCCCTCCACTGTTGGTCCCTGTGGATTTTTCTTTATTTCACTTAATGTAACCTTCATTTCTGCCTGGGTGTTTTTTATGCTGTTGCAGTACCCAGTGATTTCTTTGACATTCCTGATAACCAGTGTTTTGAACTGTGCACCTGTTAGATTGCTTATCTCCATTTTGTTTAGTTCTTTTTCTGGAGTTCTGTTCTTTCATTTGGGCCATATTTCTTTGTCTCCTTGTTTTGGAAGCCTCCCTGTGTTTGTTTCTGTGTATTAGGTAGAGCTGCTTTGACTCCCTGTCTTAGTAGAGTGGCCTGTTGTGGAAAGGCACCTGTCAGTTGTGTGGGGCAGAGCCTTAGGCAATCACCCAGGTGGGTTAACCTGTTTCACTGCTTTGCGGCCCTGTGTGAGGGAGGGCTCAGAGAGGGGACAGTGCTGCTGCCTGGCCTCTGGAGATTGCCCGAGAGGAAGCTGTCTTCCGGGCTCTCACTCCCTTGCCAGTCACTTCACCTTCTCCCTGTATGCTGCTTCTGCCCTTCCAGCTGTTGCCCTGGGGCACAATCGCAGAGGAGGTGGGTCTGCTTGAGTCCTCAGTTTGTTGTGGGCCCTTTAAGAATAGTCTCTTGAGAATCCCACAGTTTCTTCTGCTGCCCGAAACCTCCCTGATTTTTGCATCCATAAGTTGTGGGGACTTATTTTCCTGCACTGGAACCTAGGCTGGGTGGTTTGGTCCGGGGCTGGGATCTCTCCCTCTCAGGGTATCCCTCCTGATTTCTGTCCACCACACATGAATGTGGGACCACTCGTTTCCCTGCCTCTCCACGCCTCTCTGCGCCTCCACCCCTCGTACCTGCCTGGATGAGTGTGGCTTTAAATCCTCAGTTGTCAGACTTCCATACAGCTCAGTTTTCTGACGAATCTGGGTGATACTTGTTTTGTGTAGTCTAGTTGTAATTTTTGCTGTAATTGTGTGGGAGGCAAAGTGTGTTTACCTATGCCTCCATCTTGGCTGGAAGACTGTACTACACTTAAGTGTACTGATTTTATTCTTAACTATTTGGTCATGCTCTATTAATACCCCAAAAGAAGGCAAACTTTAAATTTTGTAAATTGTTTTCTTTTTCCCTCAGAATTGAAAAACGAGATAAATACAGCAGGAGACGACCTTATAATGATGATGCAGATATCGACTACATTAATGAAAGGAATGCTAAATTCAACAAGAAGGCAGAAAGATTCTATGGGAAATATACAGCTGAAATTAAACAGAATTTGGAAAGAGGAACAGCTGTCTAATCTTCTCCAGGAACTGTTTTTAGAAGCTTGAGAATGGGATGAAGATTTCTGTTAGCAAATTGCAGTTCTATTCAAAGTTATACTAGTAAACCAGAACATACTCTATGTCTTCCCACTCAGAATTTAAAATAAATGTTTTTTTCTTAAACATATATTTCCATGTATATTTCCAAATTTTTGTGCTCGGATATAAGATGTATTTCTTGTAGCGTATTTGTTTTTTAATAATCTACTTTGTATAAATTCTATAATTATATTATTTTTCTATGTATTTTAAATGTGTGGTTATTTAACCTTTGAAGCATTTTGGGCTTAAGATTGCTGGTAGCAAATGTAAATTCAGTCTTGTTGCTTTGAGTAATGTTAGGAATTTGACAGACTCTGGAGCTGGTCTCAGGAATCATTTGGGGTTGTAGACTCTGAAGCTAAGGACAGGGATGAGGAAGGTGGCAGTCGCAATGGCTCCTGGAGGGCTGGTGCAGGCTCTACTGGGCTGCTTATGACCAAGTTCAGGAAGTAACAGAACTGTCCTGTGAATATTGACCATGTACTGTTCCCTTTTTACAAAGCAAATATCCTGTGGAATAAAATTCCTACTAAACCTTTTGTTTATTATTTTAAAAAATTTTGTATATACTCACACAAATATACATGCTTCCATTTCATAAACTTCTAATTTTTTTTTTTTACTATGGGATATTCCAAACATATTCAAGAGAAGACAGGATGATACGATGAACCCCATGTACCTAATACCCAGCTGCAACAATCATCTCATGGCCAATATCATTTCATCTCTATTTCTACCTACTTTCCCCTCCACAACTCCGATGTAATTTTGAAGCAATTATTAGATGTGTAATTTTATCTATAAATTTCAGTACTCATCTGAAAGATACATAACAAAAAAACCACACAAAGTCACATGAAGAAGGCCATTTTAATGAAAGTTCAGAGACTGGTATAATTTGTTCTACTTGATTAAAATGCTAAATATGTAATAAGGATATTCCAAATTAAGAGAAGTCTGAAACTCAGAAAATTTCACAGATATTTCAGCTTTAATGTTGAGAGGCAATTTAACATTGAATAACACTGGTGATTGTTCCCTTTTTAAATCTACGTAGCACTTTCTATTACTGTTCTCAGTTTGTTTCCTAGCATTTCTATGTGCAGGAAATCAGGTCTGGTCATAGGGCCTTAATACTACCTCTGAAAATAATATTGAATACGTTTCTATTCCCATTTCCAACACCTTAGTATACATCTTTGATCCTGAATATTGCAAGAGCCTTAAACTTCAAAAAACTATCAAATAGAATGTGGCAGTGCATATAAAAGAATAATTTACTAGCAAGCAGGATTTTTTATTTTTAAATGGATTTTTAGAAAGAGAGAAAGATCTATTTATTGTTCTACTTGTGCATTCCTTGGTTGATTCTTGTATGTGCCTTGACTGGTGATCAAACCCACAACCTTGGTGTATCACGACAAAGCTCTTGCCTCCTGAGATACCTGGTCAGGGCTCAGTAGGGTTTATTTTAAAAATACAAGAGTAACTATTTGTAGGCCTGTTGCCTGTCCAATGTCAATTCTTTCTTCACTACCAATTAGTCCCTGATCTTTTTGGTCAACTAATGGTATAATTTCTGGCTAAACACTTGCTTCCCAAAACCAATGTGCTATTACAGGTGGTCAAATGTGATAGTTCTGGCTAATAAGAGACAATCTAATTATTTTCAGAAATCTTTTGCTTTCCTGATACACTAGTTGCCAGTCCCTGCTTCTCCTTTCCTTCTTTCTGCTTAGATTACATACATGAAGATTGGAGTTGCAGCAGCCGTTTTGTGCCAAGCTCATGAGGCTGAAAGTCAATGTGCTGAGAAGAGTGGATCTGACTTGGACCCTGCTGGCTTTGCTGAGCAGCCGGAGATGTCAATCCCTCACTTTCCTGTGGTATGACGTTGAATAAATTTATGACCAATGCATGATTCAAATTCAGGGCATCTGTTAACAAATTAAATGTTGTATAAACAAAAATGGATAGATTTTTTTTCCATTCTAGATATAAACTAGAAATGGAGGAAATAGCCCAGTTATAATAGTAAAAATTATGACATTTAGACACAAATTTAATGAAAAGACACAGGACCTATGTGAAAAAATTAGAAAATGTAATCGAGCCCTGGCTGGTGTGGCTTAGTGGATTGAGTTCCAGCCTGCGAACCAAAGGGTCGCTGGATCGATTCCTAGTCAGGACACATGCCTGGGTTGTGGGCCAGGTCCCCAGTAGGGGGCACGTGAGAGGCAACCACACATTGCTCTATCTTTTCCTCTTTTTCTCCATCCCTTCCCTCTTTCTAAAAAGAAATACAATCTTAAAAAAAACAAAACCTAATTGAGCTGTGACTGCTGTGGCTCAGTGAGTTGGGTATTGTCTGCAAACCAAAAGGTCGCCAGTTTGATTCCTGGTGGGGGCACATGCCTGAGATGCAGATCAGGTCCCTTGCTGGGGCCCAGCGAGAGGTGGCCAGTCAATGTTTCTCTCACACATCAGTGTTTCCTTCTCTTTTTTCCTCCCTTCCCCTCTCTTTAAAAAAAAAAAAAAAAAAAAAAAAAAAAGAAAGAAAAGGACACCAGTCCTATCGGATTAGGGCTCCACCCTTATGACCTCATGTAACCGAAATGACTTCCCTGAAGGCCCTGTCTCCATACACAGTCACTTGGGGCTTAGGGCTTCAGCATATGAATTTGGGGAGGACCCAATTTGGCCCATAGAATCACCCACCCACTTTGTGTTTCAATTTTCCCAGTTCTAAAGTGTTAATAATATCTACCCCAGAGGAGGATTAAATGAGTGTGATGTGCTTAGAGCAGTGCCTGGTTTGTAGTGGGTACTATGAGTTATAACAGTAACGGGAAAGTAATGTTATCCCCATGGGCATTTCTGCTTAGTCTACTTTCTTTCCTTGCTTCCAAATCAAGATAATGCCACACTATTGAATGTTCAGAAATCTCTGAAATCTCCAAGGGAGGTAGGCTTTCCACTTGGTTTACTCCTGGCTCCCCAAAGTCTTGGCATTTTGTTTTTTTAAATTAGGACCAGCAAAGACTTTCTTTTTCTGCCAATCTGGAGCTTTGGAGAGGTAGGAAACCTGGGAGCTTTGGAGCACCTCTTCCCTTCCCCAGGCCTCTCTTCACCTCCCGCACGTGGTGCAGGGCACGGCCGGTAGCAGCAACTGCTTGCTGCTCAGAGCACTGGCTTTGCTCCTCTGGGCTCCCTTCAGAAATTCATCAGTTTTACAGGATTAAGTTCGTGCTCTGCTGGGGTTGCCTCTCCAGTTAGAGTAAAAATCCAGTTTCTGACAAACAGCAACTACTTGCAGAACCCATGGATCTGGACCAGAGGTCCCACCTGGCTTTTTGATATAACAGAACCAGCACTTGTGGTCAAATCATTAAAAAAACAAACAAACAAGCAAAACTCCTCTTATCTATAGAAGTGTTCACATCTTGGGTGAACAGTTTAGCTTTGGATTTAGTCTTGTCCGTGTGGATGGAGTTGTCATATTTTTGTTTGGAAACTCTACAGGCTGTGGGCACCACAAGAAACTGGAAGATACTGACAGCCTCTCATTTGGCTAAAATGTTGCGGGGGAGTTGGGGGGGGTGTGTGTTTGTGTTTGTTGGGGACAGGTGTGTGTGTTTCTTCAGCTGGAAATGTTCCTTTGGAGAGAGATGCAAAAAAATACCCACCAATCTCAGAAGCTTACCATAGAATGTATGAAAGACATTTATCACATATTTGTAAAATAAATGTAAAACATTTAAAATATACCATAGTTTTTACAAAATCCTATATTAACATTTCTCATTCTTATTAATAAAACAGAAGACCTCAAAGAACCAGTCTAATCTGTCGATTAGAGGCGGATGTGCTTGGAAGGACTGAGCCTGAAAGCAAAAAGGGGATGGGGAAGGAGGAAGTGATAATGGCAACTGTTTAGCGCCTCCTTGTGGCATCCCAGGAGTATAGCTTCAAGATCAGTCGTCTTTTTTTTTTTTTTTAAACCCAAGAAGCAAGCTGAGTTTTTTCCCAGCAATAACAGTAATACATAGTCATTGTAAAAAAATTACTTCTTCCAATTAAGGGGGGGGAATATGGAATTTTATTAGATTATTAAATCCTTTAGTATGGGAGCCACAGAGCTAACTTAAAACCTTTTATTTTTAATATTTTATTAAAATGCCTCCTTTGAAAAAGCTTTCTTTAAAAAAATTCTCTATTTATTTTTATTTATTTAATTAAAAAAGATTTTATTTATTTTTAGACAGAAGGGAAGGGAGGGAGAAAGAGAGGGAGAAAAACATCAATATGTGGTTGCCACTTGTGTGCCCCCTGCTAGGGATCTGGCCTGCAATTCAGGCGTGTGCCCCGACTGGGAATCGAACCAGTGACCTTTCGATTTGCAGGCTGGCACTCAATCCACTGAGCCACACCAACCAGGGCTTAAAACTCTTTTTTTTTTTTTTTAAATAACCCCAAACACAAAAATACTGAGGTATAACTTTCATACAGTAAAGTGCAAAATCTTGATTGTACAATAGTTTAATTTTTACATATTTATAAATCTTTGTAACCACCAAAAAGGTAGGGAAGAATATGGACAGGACACATGTAGGTCTCAATTAACGGCCAGCATCAACTGTCATATATATATGATATTTGCTGGTGATATTTGATATTTTAGTCCCCAGCTTTTGAGTCCTTCAGTTGTGGCACCAGATGTGTGGCAGAGTCAAGCCACTCCCTGTGTCTTCTCTAAGTTGCTATCTAAGAAGGCTAGACATAGAGTTACCACATGATGTAACAATTTCATTCCTAGGTATGCACCCAAGAGAGGTGATTAATTATGGTTGTTGCTTAAGCCACTAAATTTTGGGACAATTTGTTACATGGCATAGATATCTAATACACACTATCTAACTAACAGGGTTCTTTTGGTGTTTAAATGGACCAATAGTTGGGAAAACTTGGTATAATGCTTAACACATACCAGCTCAAGAGAACAAACCAGTAGATATCTAAAAAAGTGTGGAAAGTTGTACTTTTAAAGTGTACAGTAAACTAGTTTCAGTTACCATATGTAATTAAAAGAAGGAAATTCTAAAAGCCATTTAGAATTTTAAAAACTTTTTCACTAATTCTGATTAAACTTTTGCTTAACTAGACTGATTTTTTTCCTGCTAGACATGCTAGGTGATAGAACTTAAGTGTCTAGGAAAACAGAATCATCTTTTCCTTTGTTGCTGATACAAGCATTCTAAATCAGTGGCATGTGAATCAATTAGGTTTTAATAATATTTTGTTCATTACTAGGAAAAAAAGAATTTTGGTTTTATAATGCAGCTTCACAAAAGTTTTCAGCAAAATTAGCTTATGTAAATATGTTAAATTTATGTGTGTACACTTTTATTTTATTTTATTTTTAAAAAAGATGTCATTTATTTTTTAGAAGGAGGGGAGGGGAGGGAGAATGAGAGGGAGAGAAACGT